GATGTTTTATGTGGTATAGTTTCACAAAACTAAAGTCAGAGCATTCTGTTTTTGTTTTAAAATTTCAAATTATACAATCTAATTTAGATTTTAAAAAATGCTAATGCTGCATGTATTCAGCATCTTTGTTTGGATTGTGATTCAAATGCAGTGGTTGCCTCTAATTTTGAATGGAAAGCCTTTGTTTATATGAAGAGGTTTTTTTTTTCTTATTTATTTGATTAGATTTGGGGTTTGTTTTAAAATTTAAATTTAGTTTTGTTATTTGACATATTTCTGTTTCACAAAGAAATGTGCAGCATTTTGTCCAAGCAATAATAAAAGGACACATTTTCATTTATAATTTGTCTTAAATCTAATTTTGTTTAAAAAAAAAAAATTGTGAGAAAATCGAATCGTGAAATCAGTATCGTGAATCGAATCGAATCGTGAGTTGAGTTAATCGTTACATCCCTAAACCCCTCTGAGCGATTTATCTAAACAAACAAAAAAAGATTCTTAAAATTCATGTGGTCATAAATGTCTTGTGTACTTAGGTTGAAATATATATAAAAATATCTTCTGATTTAAGACAGAACTATTTAGATCAGGGTCAGATGCACTATTCCCTAAATAATTAAAATGTGGAGACCAAATATACCACCATAACGAATTTGTCATAACATCATTATATTCTATGGGTTTAATGAATGTGCAGACAATGTAGTTATCTGTAACTGTCATATAACTGTATATTCACTGTCATTCACAGGAGAGGGCCATTTAATGTGTACCTAATATGAAGTGGGTTTTCATGAAAAAAAATAAAAATCTAACTAAAATCAGAACTGAAAACAAACTCTGGATGAAAAAAAATCCCAATAAATGTCCAAACAGCGATTCTATCACAGCATTTATTGTGTTATATATTGTGTATCATTTAGACATTGATTTGATAGAAAAAATATATAATTGTTACTTATTATTGGTATCATTGTACAGATTGAGAATTCATTGCACTGATTTTAAATTCATTTGAGGTATCTCATATATGACATGACACTGATCTTTTATATGCAGTGTGTCTTAAAAGCCATATAGGCTATAATATGTTGTTTTTAGATAAATTGCTCAGAGGGGTTTGACCAACCAGTTAGACAGACAAGGTTATTTATTTGTACAAATCATCCAAGCACCCCAATCCCAGCCATTTCTAATACACATTTGATGAATATTTCTAAATATTATTAAATTGTAATGAAATTAAAGATTCATCTTTGATTGTCAAAAGAATTCTAGGTGCAGTTCCCTCTCAGCCAATTAGATTTCACGTAGCATTTTCATCGGTCAGTCACAGAAGTCTGATTGGTTGATAACTTTTGACAAGGTTTAGTCCAGGTGTGAAAAAAATTAATTTCTAGCGCAAGAACACGGAGAGATTTGCGAGTGCACAGGACACAGTTTGAGCACACACACGTGCACACTTTGAGCGAGAGGAGAGATTCGCGATTGCAAAGAACACATTTTAAGTGCGCGCACACCCTCTGGGTGAGAGCAGAGTGTATCTGAGGCTACGTTCACACTGCAGGCAAATGTGGCCCAAATCTGATTTTTTTGCTCACATGTGACTCAGATCTGTTTTTGTCATGACAGTGTGAACAGCACAAACCACATGGAATCGGATCTTTTCAATTCTGATTTGTGCCACTTCCATATGTGTTACTAAATCTGATCCATGTCAGATGTTTTGCAATGCGACCGCAGTGTGAACGGTCATGTCGTTTTTCATTTTTTCATCTTTTACGTCAGATCGACATTCGTCATAATTCCGCACTGACGGGAGACACTTCAAACATTTTACATACCCAAAGTTATCAAGACAGTAGCGAAAGTAGTGGTCGACCGATATTGTTTTTTTGACAGCCGATGCCGATATCTTGGAAAGCAGGGAGGCCGATGGCCTGAATCCATTTTAATACAGTGTTTAGATCAAAACAGTGAGACATGCTGACTAAACTCTGGTTCAGCAAAAACAACCTGTGAGCGGTCTAGAATAGTGGTCGACTGATATGGGTTTTTTGACAGCCGATGCCGATATCTTGGAAAGCAGGGTGGCCGATAAAAAGCCGATATAATTTTCTTTATTTTAATTAATATTCAAGAAATTTGAAATCATTTGAAAATGGATTAAAAAATAAATGTGTAAAATAAACATACTTTAGATGACAATGTATTTTTCACAAATAAATAAATATTTAATAAAAAGTGAACATTGTAACCAACAGGGCACTAAGTAATCTGGCAAGATTGTGTGCATTGGGAATCATATTTTTTTCAAATAAAGCCAAGGTAACAGTCACTTTACATACAGCACACAGTGAAAATGACATGAATATGACAGTGGGCAAATGCATAAAGCGCAGCATAATTTGAAATCACGAGTTAAAATTTTGTCGATCGCGCATCTCCAGTGAGGCTGAACTCTCCTCCTGTCCGCATTCAATTCGCACAGACCAAACGTCATGCAGAGCATACGCGATCATGCAGGATACAAATGCACACTTCACAAGATCTCAACTAGATTCGACTAAGTTTGCAAGGTTTGTGAAATTATATGTTCATTAATAGACATTCAAAGATTTGTTCAAATGATTTAAATGCGTATTTGCTGAATGCTGACGGCAAACGAGACAGTATTATAATATTTGCTTTTCTATTACTAATAATATTAATAATATATATGAATATATATTAAAGCAATCGTTATAATACTTTTTTGTATACATTTTAATTCCTTTGTTTAACCGTTCCATCTCATTATTAGACAGACTTCTATCCGTATTAGACAGAACTGTTAACGACGACAGCGAACAAGGGGGAGAATGTGAGC